TTGACTAATTGATTGATTAAGTGATTGACTAAATAATTGACTGACTGACTAATTGGTTGATGAATTGATTGAATGATTGACAGATCAATTGATTGATTGATTGACTACAGTGTACTGTAATTGATTGATTAAGTGATTGACTAACTAATTGACTGACTGACTAATTGGTTGATGTTTGATTGAATGATTGACTGACTAATTGATTAATTTATCAATTGATTGATTGCTTGATTAACTAACTAATTAATTGATTGTCTGATTAACTGATTGATTGATCAACAGATTGAATGCATTTTGTTTGGCTGATAAAATTAAGCTGAATGATGGACCAACCATCTGATCTTTATTTGATTGTTTTGTTACCATTTATCAAGTATTTGGAAGCTGATTATAATTTATCAACCAACCTTTAACAAAGCTAGAATTCCTCCACTTGTGACAATGTAAGCTTTGAAGTCCTCATTTGTCTGACTGAGATTTCTTAGAGCTCCTTCACATGTCAATAAAACAAGAAATTAAGGAAGAAGGGAATTAAAGAGAAAAATAAAGAAAAAGGGAAATAGGGGAACAAACAAGCAACCTATAAAGATTAGAGAGTTTACGGCAAACGGCTAATGGCAGAGCTGMACCAAAGACCTAAGAATTTTGTGCCTGACCTTGTGATTTTGGTAGTCATTTGAAAGAGCAACTTTTCACAATYATGGCAAACTCAAAATAACCCACTCTCGCAGTGAAACTGTAACGGTAACCCCCCAAAAAGCAGGTCACATGATGATCTTTTGCAGTTTGCCRTGAACGTCATGCTTAAGCTCTCTATTATCATGACTACAATGAAATGATTGAATATAAAATGAACAACACTGAAGGATTAATAAACAGATTAATCAATTATAAACAAGGGTAAGCACCAACCAGCAGTATATTCCAGTACAGATGGATTCTTTGGTGGAGCTTGAACTCCAGACAAACAACACAGAGAAAYCTGAAAATTTATTCAATTATCATTTATTTGATTATTTATTTATTACTTATTTGAACAATTATACCAAAAGGATGAGTAGACAATTAAAAAAAATAATAATAATCAATGGCATCATGCTATTATGATGGTTGCACACAAAAACTGGATATTTCAAAAAAAAAAAAACAAACAATAAAGTGTCTGAAAATGCAGTTTGAAATTTTGTGGATTATCCAACAACTATCACGGAATACTGTAATGCCCAGATTTCAACTGCTAGTATTGCTGTTATTATTCAAAAAACAATGCTCTATGCAATGAGAGTACCCCCTTTGCAGTAGGTACTATAATCATATGACATGACCGACTCTACACCAATGACAGCAGAGGAAATCTTGTTGTTGAATTACATGTACGATATTTGAAATACATTTTGACCAAGAATGGATCATGATCTATGGTCAAATGATAGACAACTCAACATTAACATTAGATACTCTACCTGGGGTAGATAGCTATTCAAACTTGCTGGAAGACCATACACTGAATCAGCTGGGAGAACAGCAGTAAAACCAAAATCTATTGCAAACACTGTGACTTTTGTTTCATCCTTTGACGAGATGATGCGACCTCTGTATGTCATCTTCTGCCCATTGATTAACTCACCACAGCATACTAACGAACCTGGTTGTGGTATCTGGGGCAATGGAGCTAAATTCTGTTGATAAAGAAATAATCACGATTATCTTCTTTTTATTTTCAGTTCCAGCCAGGAAGGATCCATTGAAAGTTAGAATCATAAATACTGGCAACTAGATGCTGATAAAAGTTAGAATCATAAATACTG